GATGATGTTGAATGTAGAATAAAGGTTTTTAAAAGGTTCAAATCAATTAAACATCCCCCGCTAGGGGAAACGCTCTTACATAAGCTGGAATGACCAATCAAAATACAAGTATATGAGAATTAAAAAAAACTTGACAACGAACTTTGCTTATAATAATTATTTAATGCTTTAATGTTAGGGTTAGACAAAAATAGAATTCATTCTAACTAATAGATAGATAGATAACTTACTATCAAATATGTTAGTTTCTTTTGCTCTGTATATAAAAACTAAGTGAGGTTTTTGTTTTTCAAAAATATTCAGATTATTTTCAAGTAGAATATTTTAGTATTACTATTATTATGTAAACTTATTAGATTCAGTATTGTTAGTACTCAATGGCAGACATGACACTATAAAAAATACTAATGGGGCTACCATATATATTCGAGTATAGAGTAAGTTTTATGATCAATTTTTACGCAAAAAATAGGGGTCACATTAGACATAGGTAAATTTTTGAAGATGTTAAAAATCATGTATTTTTCGATGACCGGTTACGCTATACACAAGTATTTTTTTTTCTAGGGCGTTAAAATTCATGCATTTTCGGTGACCTAACTTACCCTGTAGTCCTACATTCTCACAGTATCTTTGGCTACTAGTATTGTTCAGAATATAGTGTTGCATCAGGTTTTACACAAAAAAAAATATCAGGGATCGCACTATATATACATATATACTCTCTCTGTATCTATCTATCTATCTATCTATCTATCTATCTATATATATATATATATATATATATATATATATATATATATATATAAAAATAAGATGAGAACGAATAGAGTACAATTCTAACGTCCGTAACATTTAATTTAAAAGAGGGCTCAATACAAAGTAGAGCAATATTATTTATTTTAGGATATTACACAGAAAAAATGTGAAAATCGCTACACAATTGCAGTTGTGTTTCGATACTTATCCATGCTTCTCATCAATCGTCTGATGAGATACATTGATACGCATTGAAACACGACTGCAATTGTGTACCGATTTCATGTTTTACTGTAATAACCTAAAAATAATATATATATATATATATATATATATATATATATATATATATATATATATATATAGAAGTAGGTTTTATACACCAATGTATAGAGTAAAAAGTGGATGGAGGTCGAAGTCAGCTGTTAAACTTTAAAGATGGCCGGGTTCTATTTTTTTTTTTATCTGATCCTCTCGGAAAATAAATAGTTTTTATAAGATTTGTTTTCCTATCATAAATACGTTTTTTTTTGTTTTGTTTTTGTTTCTGTTTTTTTGTTTTGGTTTGAAATACACATTTTTTTTTCTCTTTCTTTATACTTATTTTCTAGAATAACATCTATAGACTTTTCTTCATATAGCAGTTTCTAATAATAAAAAATGTTACCCATTTTGAAAATTAATGGCAGTAATGACTTTAGACAAATTATGCAGCTCAGTTCGATAGCATTGTCTTAGGTCAGCAATTTTTTAACCGGTGTACCGAGGCATAATGTTGTGCCACGAGATGTGTACGACGAAAATTTTTAAAGATCATTATTTAAATAATTTTCAGAAGAATTCCAAGTCACAATAAGTATACATATCAAAAAAAAAAAAAAAAAAACAACCTTTAAATTGATTATACGAATATTTTTAAATATAACTTTCTAAACGTCATTTGTGTGAGGTAAGCTTTTCTGCTACAATATTAAAAACAAAATCGATCAAGGTTAGAATCCCTGGAAAATTTAATAAGTATGCCTGTCCAAAATTCGACCCTGCAAAGAAAATATTATAAAAAAAAGTCAAGCTCAAATATCTCTTTAAATGTTGAATTATAATAAAGAGAAAATAAATAAATACACATTTAAGAATTTTAATTATTATCTTTTTATTAAAATTCATAATAAATTTTTCTTTGTGTTAATAAATAAATCATAAGGATACGCGTTTTTTACTCTTTTTTTATCATCATTGTGTCTCAGAAGTTTAACAATAAGTTCAAGGGTGTGAGATAAGGTTGAAAAACATTAAACCTGGATTGTTAAGTCGTCAAAATTAATCTTCATTTTCAGTTCCACCAAAAAGTGAGATAGCTGAAAACTTTTTTTTTGTTTTGATTTTAAATACACTGTTTTTGTGATTCGTTTGTACTCATTTTCTGAAAAGAGACCTGTGAACTCTTTTATATGAAACTTCTATAGACATTTTAGAAGCGAATGTTTAAAAAAGAAAGAAAGAAAGAAAGAAAAGAAAGAAAAGAAAGAAAGGAAAAGAAAAGAAGGAAAGAAAGATGAAGTTTTCTGATTCATTTTTGAAAATTAATTACGATAATACCTTTAGCCAAATGATAAAATTCGGCTCAATACCATTGTCATAGATTGAAGCTAAGGAGACAAAATTAGGCTTCTGTTTAGTCATTTTTTAATAAAAAAAATGACTGGGGGTTGAATCTCTTAAGTACTAGCATTCTCAAAGTACTGTGGATGAGTAGAACTCTCTTGAGATCAAATGATAACAAGTCTGCTCAACAATCAAGCACTCTCCTCAGTAACTGGTTTTAGTAATGCTGTCATTTGGCTAGTTTGAATTATCCCAGATTTTTTATATTTTCACTCGTTTTGCAGAGCTCTACGTGACTGCTCCAAGAGATCCTATAATAAAAGCTTCTATTGTTTATTTCATTATTTATATTCATTCTCTGGTAATTAAAATCTGTGTATTGTTACGTATTGAGTGATTTCCAAATTGCAAAAATTTCGAATTATATCCCGGAAAAATTATATCAAATAATTCAATATAAAGCAATATTTTTTCTTAATCTTAGTTTTATATTTGTGGAGCTTGTTGCTTAAATCTAAGTTTTTTATTTTATTTTATTTTATTTTTTTTTTTTTGGTTAGACGGGTGGGGGAGTTGTAGTAATTACGTAAAATTAAACAATGCCGATAATATATAATTATTGTTTAAAATTAACCCAGGAACCTGTAAAAAAAGTATACATATGGTCATAAGTTTTTATATAGCTGATTTAACATATCTAAGCGAAACATGTTTTTAGGAATCGCCTTTTAGCAAAAATATTCAGTGTTTTTTTTCTTTTTTATGTTTTTGTATTATTATTATTTTTTTTTATTTTTATTTTTCCTTTCATATTTCTGCTTTTTTTTCTGTGTTGTTTTTCAGGGAAACATCAACTTTCGATTTTTGTCACAGCCATTCGTTTCCACTTTCCAGTTGAGTTCTCCTGTTCGGAACTACAAGATTGACGCTTAAAAACAAAACGAAAAAAAAGCGAGAGAGAGAGAGAAAGAGAGAGAGAGAGAGAGACAGAGAGACAGAGAGAGAGAGTGAGAGTGAGAGTGAGAAAGAGCGAGAGAGGGGGATAGAGAGAAAGAAAGAAAAAAAGAAGGAAAGAAAAAAATTTATAAACAAAATAAACGGAGAAAAACAAGTAAAAAAAAAAAGAAAAAGAAAAGAAACAAAGATGTCTGCGTGCGCATGACCAGTTATAGAACTCTTCGCCAACCGCCATTATTCGACGTGGGTCAAAATAATGTATATATAATAAACAATCCCAAACAATACGTAAGACAATAAAAAAAAAAAAGAAAGAAAAGTAAAATGAATGAATAAAAAAGAAGGAACGACATCAACTGAAACGAAAAACGAACGACATAAAAAAAAAGAGAAAAAAAAAAACGGCAGAAGGCCTTTGGTTTAACGTTTCTGCATTATATATATATATATATATATATATATATATATATATATATATATATGAACTACATAAACATATAAAACAACTAAAGTAAAAGATCAAGAAAGAAGTGTTAAACTCGCGCTATTCAGATTTAATAAAATAATACGTAAAATTAAACTCAAGAGACTTACAACCTTGCTACGAATGTACGGAGTACAGACACAACTATCCAGTAGATGTTTTCATCTTTTTCTTTTCAAAATTAACAAATTACTACATTTTTCCCTCTCCATTAATTAAATTTAAAAAAAAAAAAGAAAAACAGACACTTATTTTTATGTATCAGCGAAAAAATATAATCTCCAAGCAATTAAACATTATTTATCGAATTAATGACAGGATAATAGAATAAAACACAGATTTTTTTAAAATAAATAATAAACATTAATTTAGTCATTATTTAGTTTGCATGAAAAATTATTGTGTGCAATTCGTTTCCCATATATACATACATACAAGCGTACAGCTGTAGGCAGACATACGTATCATTAAGCGATATATAATTCATTAGATATCAAATGATAATGGTCTAATAATGTACATTTCTAAGGAACATTCTATATATATGTAAGTGTAAATTATTTTTAGTCAAAGTATCGTGGTTAACGAACGCTTCTCACTAATAATTCATCAGAATGTGATTTTTACTGTAAGTGCTCTGAATGTCTTCCTGTTGCAGTCTAAGCTAAATTTAGTAAAAATTTATATATATATATATATATATATATATATATATATATATATATATATATATATATACATACATATATAATATTAAAAACACACACGCAGATTTCTTTCATTCTAATACGAAGAAGCCTACCTAACAAAGGCGAAACGCGTAGTCTGTAAAACAGTTTACCCTTTGAGTTATCAAATATATATATATATATATATATATATATATATATATATATATATATATATGTACATATATATGATTATATGCACACACGCACATATATATATATACATATATTTCTATATAAGTCTATGTATAGATGCGTTTGAATATAAATAATGATTTTACATGTATGTATTTGATATTATAATCAAAGGGTAAAACGTATACATCGAATGTAAGACATTTCATGGTATACATAACGATAACAAATATATCTATGTATATAAATGTATGCTGCAGTATTCTTATATATACATATATACATGCATATAGATAAAAGATAGCTATTGATAAATAAACTCAATATTCTTCATGTCTCGGGAAACGAACTCCATGGAGTCAAACGGTAGCAATAATTCATCCTCACCCAGTAATGGGAATAACACAACAACTAATAACACGAATCTAACTACCACAGCCATAAATACAAACAGTAACAGTAGTGTGACCACCAGCGCCATCTGTGGTGGCGTAACGATCGGATCAGGTTCTGGTCAACCTGGTGCGCCACACCCTTTACCACCACCTCCTCCAGCTATTCTACCTCACCATCATCATCATCATACTGGACTGCCTAGTCCGACGGCGGTCAGCAGTACAGGGGTACCCCTGTCATCGTCCACGTCGTCTGAGTCTCCGTCCTCGGCAGGGTCGGTGGCCACGGCCGCGGTGGCCACCGTTGGAGCCGTGTCTCTTTCCTCGTCTTCATCGTCTCCGAACTTGAACACGGGTGCTACACCGGCGCCACCTTTTCACTTGCTTCCAGTCACTTCTTCCCTGGACTTTACTCGTCGTTTCTCAGCCTTCACCAGTGTCCAGTATCGGAATACAGCCGCTAGTTCGGCTGTCGCAGTGGACATGGCAGCGGCCAGTAAACCAATGGCTTTCAGTTCGTTGCAAACGACGCCGCTTGCCGAGACAAGGGGTGAACTAGCCCTACCGGTAGGATTCTACGGATCAGCGCCCTCGATCTACCCAGAATTTCCAAACCTCAATTTGGGAGGAACATTGCCTGCATTATGTAAGTAAACTTTTTCCCTACTTTTCTTTTCCTATTTTTTCTTACTATATCTATATCTATCTATCTATCTATCTATCTATCTATCTATCTATCTATATCTATATATATATATATATATATATATACATATATATATATTAATAAATATTTGGGAAGCAATCTTTCTTTTAAACATTTTTGATTAAATAAAGCAGACAAGGAAGTTTTGATTAACTGGAAAAACTAAATAGAAAATTAATTATATCTTGCTTGTCTGCCATATTTAATCATATATATATATATATATATATAAGATAACAATTGGAAAAAAATCTTAGTTTTTTGCCGACGCGTTTCGTCTTCCGATTTTTTCAATGCGAAAATGAAATCGGAATGTTTTTGTTTTATAGTTGCATTAAAAAATACAAATTTAAGAGTTTTTTTTTCTTTCCATGTCGACAATATAGTTAAATTCCCAGATCAATGAGGCTTGGTGTAGAAGATTTGTTTTGTTCACAGAATTGATCTGTGAATTTAATTATATTTCATTGTTTATATATATATATATATATATATATATATATATATATATATATATATATATATATATATTTAGATATATATATTTTTTATATATATATATTTTATATATATATATTTATTTCATTATATATATATATATATGTATATATATATATATATATTTATATATATATATATATATATATATATATATATATATATATATATATATGTTTATATGTTCATTATGTTACATATATATGTTCATTAAATATGGGAGACGAGCAAGATTTAATTGTTTTTTTATTTAGTTTTGTTTATTTTTTATTTATGTACAGTATGCATATATATATATATATATATATATATATATATATATATATATATATATATATATCAGGGTGGAAACCAAACCATGGCTCGCGAACCCCATGTGGCTCTTTGACCTTTAATATGCAGTTCATTGGAAATATGTTAGCTGAACCCCTTTTTTCATTGCAGTTAATATAAAAGGTAAATAAGAAAAATTTCAAGCTTTAGAATTATTTACTGGGTATGAATTGAGACACCACTGGATTAAAACCTAAGTTTAATGTTAATGTTTATGTAAACAAAAACGTATGTTTAAATTTTGTTCATGTCTTGCGGCTCTCAAACATCTGAACTTTAACGTAAGTGGTTCTGACATTATGTAAGTTTGGCCACACCCGGTATTTATGATGACTGTCACTTCTTTGCAGAAGAAGACCATCTCCTCATTTGATAGCTTTTCTTTTGTGTGTGTGTGTGTTTTCATTTAGAATTTTATTATTGCCATAATGTATACCTGGGCTAACACTCTGCTATTGGTTCGTAAAGTAAGTTTTGCTTTTGCAACCTCTCTTACACACGTGGCAAGCATAAAGTTTGTCCGTGTTATCTGTTAAAAACTTGCCTATCCCTGAGTACAATCATGTGATATTTGAGTCCCGCAACAGACTTTCATACCTTGTCCGAAAATATATATAATAATATAATATATATATATATATATATATATATATATATGCATATATATATATATATATATATATATATATATATATATATATATATATATATATATACACACACACACACACACACAAATATATATATATATATATATATATATATATATATATATATATATATATATATCCGCCCTGGGTATGACGATAACCACATCTGCATCCTGGGCAGAACATCCAAAAAGCAAGGCTTCTTTATTACTGATGTTCCCAGATCCACCCTGACCCAGGGTGGTAGCACCTGTTACGGTCTCAGCTATGGGTAAAGAGTTAACCCCAAAACTGGGGTCAAAACATTATGAAAGTGAAAAAATAGATTTTAATACCAGAAATACTTTGTTGGAAAAATTATTACCAGCAATAGACTTTTGGAAAAAAAAAGAAGATATGACCAGCAATAGATTTTTTGAAGAAAAAAATTACCAGCAATAAAAATTGTTGACATTAAATAACTCATTGAGGTTGATATGCCGCAAACCAAACCAAACCAAACCAAACCAAACCAAATATATATATATATATATATATATATATATATATATATATATATATACATATCAATTCTAATGTAAGTTTGAATCTAAATTTAAATTTAGATTATAGTACTATTAAATATTTAACTAATAACTTATTCAAGCGTAAGACCCAGAAATATTAACCAGACTGTACTGAGCTCTCAGTACTGACGATTGTGTGCTGCACGGAACTCTGTACTGTCAGATGGGGTATTATATATATATATATATATATATATATATATATGTGTGTGTGTGTGTGTGTGTGTGGGAGAAATAATTTTATTGACTTATGAATATATAATGTTATATCCTGTGCTGACAACTACGCTAACTGCACATACATAACCTGTCAAATTAAGATGCATTAATAAATATAGTACATGAAAGATGATCCGTTCATTCATATATATATATATATATATATATATATATATATATTGAAGGTCTGTATGAGCGTGTGGATGTATGTATGTATATATGATTATTATGATTGCTGAAGGTGTGAAAAAGCTAATCACACTAAGTGCTGATTTTTATCTTGCAGAACTATTACTCTATAAATATAACAATTTTACCAAATCAAATATATATATATAGGTAGAGACATTCATATGTGAATATATATATATATATATATATATATATATATATATATATATATATATATATATATATACATTCATATGAATATATATATATATATATATATATATATATATATATATATATATTCACATATGAATGTTCTACTCTTAGTTTCACGGAACCAACCTCCACTCTTCATATATATATATATATATATATATATATATATATATATATATATATATGTTTAAAAGAACATTAAAAGTGACATACTTTTTAATAATTAATTATATATATATATATAATAACATATATATATATATATATATATAACAACATTTTTGACATTATTTCTTATTAACATAAATGTTATTTTTAGTGGGTATATATATTTGATTTGTTATCCCATTTTTTTACTTAAAATGAATGACAAAAATCTAAATAGGACTTTTCGATCTAAGCCAGTTGTTATTAATTTTACTGTTTATCAAAAACAAAAGAAAAGAAAACAAGAATCGATTAACAAATATCTAATTACTAATATTTGTGGTACAAATCCATTATAGGTATGCTAAGTAAGAATTTTAATTATAGGGATGCTAAGTTAGAATATTCATCATAGGGGTGCTAAGTAAGTATATTCATTATAGGAATGCTAAGTAAGGATATTCATACTTGATAATGGCTGAGGCCAGTAGAAAGCACCGGAATACGTAACCACTATACGCACACGTGGCAAGCGAGTTTTTATTTTCGGTTGATACCTATGAAATGTAAGTATCTTATTAGTCATATTTATTTAATATCATTTTGCCTTCAATTGAAAGGCAATTAGAGAATTCGCTGATATATATATACACTGTAACCCGGATATAAGAGAGTTGTCGGGACCGGAGAAAAAGTCTCTTATATCCGGGTTTGATCTATTTTATATACATTAACACAGGCTCTAATTTGGGACCAGAGAAAATCTCTCTTATATCCGAGTTTCTCTTATATCCGGGTCTCTTATATCCGGGTTATACTGTTATATATATATATATATATATATATATATATATATATATAGTTCAGTCGGGTTTCGACCCTAGCTGGAGGCAACCGGATGTCTAGCCACACTGATGAGCTGTGAAACAGTGAAACAGTCTGTCTGTGGATGACGGTATATATATATATATATATATATATATATATAGTGGACTCTCCCGTCGTATTTGACGTATGAGGGCCAAGCAGCTCAGTTCCTAGGAACCGACAACACAGACACCACCACATATAATTTGATTATAGTGGTGAAGGCTTTGTGCAAAACCAACCACACTTTTTGAAGAGCCGAATACACAGACCTGGTGCACTACGTGCCACAAGGTCCACAAACGACCCTCCACACCCTTTGAACAGGAGTAGCGGTTCATCCCTTGTTTCCAGTTTAGGAAGGGGTCCTCGGATCCTTTCCTTTTCTCTGGCTTCAGTAGTAATGCTGCTGTGAATTTCTTGTGATGTGTGCGTTTTGTGGCAACGTCACTCCATACTGAGGGTACCGAGTTGGAAGTTTTCTGGTTGCTCTTCCCAACTGGTAGTTAGGAGCCCGAACATTTGTGTAGCGTCTTGAGAGGCCGCTTTAATGAACAGTTGCATAATATCGGTGTTCTTGCAGTGCCATGTCGCGCATAGAAGGGTCTCCCTTCACGTACCTCCGGTGGGCAACCATGAGGCCACCCACATTATGTTTTAGTCTGCGCCAGTTCCTTTTTGCCCATGTTCCATACGACGACCCTCTGCTACATAACTCAACATGACTATAAACAACCAGAAGTATAAACCTAAACCAACTCAAAAAAAATCACCTAAACCCTTTAACATTTTCTTCTCCAACATCCGTGGCATTCGTAACAAGTTCTGCGGTGTGGAATCGTTCCCCTTCGAAAAGTCTCTTGATATACTAGCTCTCTGCGACGCTAACTTTAACTCTTCAATCCCCTCCTCTGATTTCTCGATTCCCGGCTACCTTCCTCTCCTTAGAAAGGACTCTAAAATCCACATACATGTCCTGGGAGTTTATGTCCGCGATCATCTTCCGCTGGCTAGGGTACTCTCTCTCTTGAATCTCCAGATTTTTCGTGTATGTGTCTCCGTCTATCCCTCCTCAATTCAGTAAGCTATATCTCTATCGTTCCCGTCCCTCCCAAGACTGTGGTGTACTCGATAGCATTTCCGATAATGTAGACAAGGCCATCTCTCTATATCCATTTGCGCACATATTCATGTTCGGTGTCTTTAACGCCTACCATACCATGTGGCATAAACACTCTGTAAGTGCCCTCGCTGACATCGAAACCCTTAACTTTTCAATCC